TACTTATCCATTCGCGACATGATATATATGATATACGATAATATGCCACCCAAGATGGCGGACCGGAAGCTGGCCAGTGACGTCACTGAAAACCCCCTATTGGAACAGAAGCGTACTGATGACATCACCGCATGCCCGGCTCGTCTGGAGCTGCATTTCACCTCCTGTTATTGATAGTCTATAGATAATAATAAATTCTTACTTTTTTCATTTATTGGGGGAATAATAATGAGCACAGTCAGATAAACACAACTACATTTTTGCCAAATAAAACAAAAAAAAATCCCCATCAGAGCCAGCTGTACTTCACACACGGCTATGCAGAGAGAGGGCTGTCTGCATTAGCCTAGGCTAGCATTAGCCTGGGCTAACATTAGCCCAGGCTAATGCAGCAGAGGGCTGTCTGCATTAGCCCAGGCTAACATTAGCCCAGGCTAATGCAGACGGGCTACCTTTGGCCATGATGTGTATACCCTCGTTTGAACAATTTAAAAAGAGAAAAAATCTTACTTGTCAGGATGGATTTCTAACTGGCACCCCTACAATAAACAATAAGAAAAAAAACACTTAAAAATGTAATTAATAAACCTTGTAAAACCATCACAATGTAACCAGATGGACAGTTAAGTGCAGAATCTGTTATTTTAGTAAAAAAAAAACAAAAAATGAAAATAAAGAAATAAACAAAACAGCAAATTCAGGCAGAAAAAAAGACTTTTTCAAAGATCTGTTTTTCAACGTAACCTTTTAAAACCAATCTTTACAAGATGTATGCCTCTTTGTTCAGAAAGGATATAGAACTTCCATTAACTGTTTATTTTTACCTGATCAATGAATAATACGTTATGGTCGCTTGAGCAACCAGGAAATGTACTGAAGTAAAAGTAAAAACTGCTGTAAAGTACAACTATTACCAAGAGAACATTTTTTCTGGTGTAACTGAGTAAATGTAATTAGTTACCACCCTCCTCTGGTTCAAAGTAATTACAGATCAGACCTTTAATCTTTTATTTCCATACGTTTCTCATCCAATCTCTTCCCATGCCTCTTGCACTGCAGACAGTATTGAGGCCAATGTGGAGAACGCCGAGGTTCATGTAGAACGGGGAGCAGAACAGCTGCAGAGAGCCGCTATTTACCAGGTGAGCCGGTTTTTCCTTTGTTTTCACTAGTTTGTGACATTCTTAACAATAACCCCCCCTCTTTTTTTCTCCTTTCTTCCTTGTAGCAAAAATCCAGGAAGAAGATGTGTATTCTTGCCATAGTTTGTTCCATTGTGCTCATCATACTCGCCGTCATTATCTACTGGGCTAGCAAATGAGCTGATTTCATCCAAATATTGCCTCAGCACTCGATGTAACCCTGCAACACCCCCTTCACCCCGACCTCACCGACAACAACCAGAGAAGCTCTTTGTAGTAAAACCATCTCAGAAGTTCATCAAAATCCAGAGCTGGACAATTTGAAACATGTACTCATCATAAATCCTTAAGTCGGCTGATTTGTTAAGTAGATGAATAAGCTGCTTTGACTTTGGTGAGGAGGCTGTGGAGGGCGGGGCTTTGGAGCGGTCCCATCAACATAATTCCTTCCTTTCCCGTACTTACTTTACTGCACTAACACTAGCTCTCACTGTATAACACATGTATAAATAATGTAAGGAATAACTTAATATTGGCAGATTTCCTTTTAAGTTTTATGTATTTTGTTTATTTGTTGTTTAATTGATGTCGTGGCATCTTCTGATGTAGAAGTAAACAGCCATTTGTCTTTCTGTGAGTCGTTAGCCTCACAGTGAAGCATTGGTATTATGGTATTGAAGTGAGTACATGTTGAAAGTACTATAAACACATCCGTATTATAAACATTATGTTGAGAACATGAAGGTTGATGTAAAAATCTAAAAAAATGAAAGAACAGACTTTGTATAAATCATTTTAAGTTGATTTCTATGATCTCTCCTTACAGAAACCGTAATAAATATGTTAAGCAAAGGTTGCGTCTGTTTGTTAATGGGTGACAGAAGTTGATGTAAAATTATTTTAACAAGCGGTAACAGTAAGGACTTATATTCACAATGTTAGGTTTATCTGTGACTTGTTGACAGGATCGTTTTAAAAGGCGTTTGAGTTTAATGTCAGTGTGAACATGAGTCCACAAACAATTACTAACGGCTTGTTGCAAAATAAAGCCCTCCTGGGATTTTTCTTTTTATGGATAAATTGCAAATTAAACTTAGGATGTTTGTAGATAAACATGTAACATGATATCAGGCGACTTTTTGCTCCTTTTACTAAAACCTCAGAACTTCTTACTTACTTACTACTTACCTTTTACTTTTACATCAGTTAAGAAGACAAGGTACTTTTATCAACAACAAAACTGCCCAGCAGTAAATAAGCTATATTTGAAGGAACGTTTTGGGTGAAAAGTTTTTACATCTTGTTTGAGAGAAAAATTTTCCTTTTAAAATAATATGCCTGTTTTACAAATCTATTCAATCCAGTTTATTTATAAAGCACCAGAAATGTCCTCTCAAGGCTCTTTAATCAGATCATACAGGCAGATTAACGTTGATAAGTTTTCAGTCAAAGTAAACCCAACTGATTGCAGTAGTCACTGACTTTGCAGAATACTTTCTTCCTAGAAGGCCATGTAGAGAGAGTATATATTTGCTTATGTTGACTCTACAGCAATCCCTCACACTGAGCATGTATACAGCAATAGCACAGAGGAAAAACATGTTGGAGGAAGAAACTTCCAGCAGAACCAGGCTCAGTGTGAGCGGGTTCAAGGAGAGAGTCCAAGACAGAAAGAAAAAGTCATAGACGCAGTAACCTAGACCAACTTCCTCTTAGAAAAGGGAACAGTCAGCCCCCTCTACAGGTGGCTGTGTCTAGAAAAGAAACAGTTAAGTAAATGAGCTTTGAGTTAGTTTTCAAGAAGAGTGAACAAGAGCTCAAGGTAACAGTAAAAGTTGGGCGCATAGTCATTTTTAGTAGAGAAACAGGACTACAATAAGTGCTGAAAAACAGGCTCAACTCTATCATTAAATGGAAATTGTCGATGGCAGCAGCCTAGATGCTTCGAGGAGCCTCAAGGATGATGTCACAGCCAAACAGGACCAGGCCAGATTTGGAGCTGCAATGATAAAAAAAAAAAAAAAGAAAGCAGAGAGAAAGCTAGAAGTTTAACAAAGAAATAATGCAAAAAAATTAGAGAATAGAAGTAGAATAAATCAGAGTGGTGAAAAGTTGTCCCTATGTCCTCCAGCAGCCTAAACCTATAGCAGCATAACTATAAAGATAGGTCAG